GAGAGAGAGAGAGAGAGAGAGAGAGAGAGAGAGAGAGAGAGAGAGAGAGAGAGAGAGAGAGAGAGAGTTGGTGAGACTTGACATTTGGGCTATGCCCCTACATGGACATTGAGTGGATAGCAACTTGGGGGACTTATTGTTGGAGACTGAGATTTTATTGGACTGTCTGTACAGACATCTCCTTCTCCTCCCCCTTCGTCTTTCTCTTCCTCCTCCTCCTCCTGTGGATGTGTGTCTGGTATAGCGCCTCTTCTATGTTTGCAGCGCTGTACCATTTCTCACTTGCGTGATAATGGTTGTGTCATTGAGTCATTGACGAGTCAGGTCTTGGTATGTCAGTCTTCCGATGTGCATCATTGCTCTTTCTTTTTGGGTCCGTTGTCGGGAGCTGTGACATGCCAGGACTCAGATCCTAGGGATGCGACAGCTGGATAGGCCGGATGCCTGTCCGCTTGTTTGCGCGCTTTGCCAGTGTTGTCACCGGTGCACTATTCCCAATGGGCATATCCTTGCCCCTGTTCCGTTTGTCTTGCAAGGAGAGGTTCTCCACTCCCGCAGTGATGGCTTCGACCTTGCTCGCCGTACCTGATGACGAAGGGACATCTTCAACCACTTTGCCTTACCTTTCTCCGTTCCATTGATGGTCGTCTTAGTATGACTGTGAACGATCGAACCCGCAACCGCTCTACGCACTTCGGTACGCATCTCCTCCCGAATATCCCCTAGTCGTAAGGATAGGTGACCTAACAGCCACCTGCACCTCCACCGCTTTTGCCATTCCCATCTGCTCCTCCTTGTGCTTCCACTGCTTCTCGGCCTTCCTCGCGGCGTGTTCCTCCTCGGCTTTCCGTGCTTCTTCCTGCACACACCGTGCCTCTTCACATTGGCGCTGCTCCCTCTCCTGGCGTCGCACCTGTTCCATCTCTATGAATTCCTGCATGGCTGCCACCGTCCGGCCAAGCTCCTCGAGTTGACTTTGTGCTGCTGTTTTGTTAGCAAATGGTAGACATGGCTCCCTCGACGGTGATGCTGATTGGCCGTGATGGTTGAATTCCGGAGGACAGGCGTAACTATCATCTTCCATCCGCCTCCGTGTTGCGGGATCGATCCAAAAGCGCCAGCAATCGGATCTATAATGTCCGATCACCTTAAACCCGAAGCACACGGTGGTGCACGTTGCGGGGCATCCCCCGTAGAGTGCTCACGCCTAGTGGACTTTTGCCCTGCCCTAAGAAAGCCAAACAGATGCGGCCCGCAATTTGCCTGGCACCACCAGCCTTTCTGCACCAGGCACACCAAGCCTTTCCACGACCAGTGTTAACCGACAAGCGTTTTTTCAAAGGCTGGGCAGACAATTGGTGGTTCAAACCACCAGTACACCGGGGACTGCAGGCGCTGCACTGTACGCCAAGCTTCTCCGAACCGCTAGCAGCACATTTTTCCCCTTTTTGGCTTGCACCACCAGCCATTGTGGTCCAGTAGGCCGACCCACAGAGTAGGCTAGAACATTTTTTCTGCAAGGCTGGGGCCGTGTGCTTTTTTTCTTTTTTCTTTTTTTAAATCCCAGGTTGTTGTAGAGGCTGGATTACATACATATGAGAGTCACCTTCGGCACTCGGCCATGTCGTAGAGGCCCCCTAATCCTATGGGACTCCCTCCCAACCTACCTCTTTCATTATTTCTCCCGGCGCACTCCTACTCCCACTATCCTACCTAAGTGTCTACCACTCAGGATCGTCACCCTCCAGCCTTGGGGGTGACCTGACCGAACCGTGGTTGTAGGTGCCAGGGCTAAGCTGAGTCCCACACACCCCACTCAGCCCTGATCGAAGCATATTTGTGCGAGCCTTGTCGCCCAGGTACTTCAGGTGCTAGGTACAGACGTTTCACTACAAGTCCCATAGGTGGACCTATTTTTTGTTCCTATCGTTGTGTACACAGCTGTTGTTACTGTTGTTTTGTTGTTAGGTTGTTCGCTGTGCACACTGTTGTCATTACTACTTGTTTTGTTGATAGTGAACCGAACACAGGAGGCAGGCAACCCAACCAATCCTGTAGAGAGCCCCACCGACACAAGAGCCCTACCAGCTAGCGATTTAAGAAAAGGGTTTTCTACAACAGTGACGGAAACAGTTGGCAAAACATTTCCATCAACATCTGCGTACTTGTCGTTCTCACATGCAGCTAGATTTTATAGCTGTCCTGGAGTGGACAGTTGAAAAAAAAGTAAGAAAATACTTACCTGCAGATACTGTCCCCCTTAGGAAATGCAAAAAAAACTGGACCAAACACTAATGGCAGGCCGTCAGTTCGAAAAAGCAGTAATAGCCAGTAATAGCAGGCCTGATGATGTCCCAGTCCGTCCCAGGGCGTCCCTGCAGGTACCAGGCCGTCTCTGACCGTTTACCAAGATTTCCCAGGCCCTCCAGCGGACTGATTTTGAGTTCAGGCGTGTCTTCCTCTGAATTTGTACTGAGGCATGGGCACATCTTCCCCCGAACACAACGCAACCTGATAAGGAATGTATGCAAGGTATATTTATGTTAAGGTGCAGCAAAAATGAGGGTGCATTGTGTTTGGGGGAAATCGGCATTGTTAGGGAGGGAGAGCGAGAGCGAGAGAGAGAGAGAGAGAGAGAGAGACCCGCACGGCAGGAAGTACCGGGAGTGGTCCAGACACTACAGGAAGTACCGGGAGCAGAGATGGAACGGTGGGAGCCAAAACCGGCGTGATATGTGGAGGTGGCATTTACAGGGGTGGTCCAGTGTTACATGCTGAAAGCCTACACACGGGACCCGAGGTTGGAATAGGGCCCCCAGGTCGCGTCACCGCAACCTGAAGGCCCTATGGCATTTTTACTTGGGCCTGCATCAGAAAAACGCCAGCTTTAGATTATTTTTATAGTCTTTATTTTATTTATTTSCTGCTGTTTTTCTAACGGGTGTACTGTTGTCCGTTTTGTGGCCAGGTACACGCTTCTAGGGCCAGGGCCAGATTCAGGCCCAGAGGCTGAGCTCCTAAAAACGTTTGGACCTTTTCTTTTGTTTTCGAACAGATTTTGACCTGTTCAAACCCAGGCCGACGTTGAGGCCGGGTACGTCCGCACAGGACCGGTTTGAAGCCAGGTACCAGGAAGATTAATCCTGGACAGGGCCTGGACGTCCGGTAGGGACCCAGGCAGGCCGTTTTAGGCCAAGGACTGAACCAGTTTTCGAAGCCTGCGATCTGGACCGTGGATCCGAGTTTCGATCTGCACGGTCCAGAACGCAGGCCGTGGGTTTTCAGTCCTGGCCCAGCACTACTTAAGCTGGGCCATTGCCCAGTTCGG